GATTTGTTCTCATACATAGGCCTCCAAGCCATTAATTGTTCAACATGGATGATGGAATCCACTTCATTATATAGCCTGCTTGTTTATTCTGAAGTTGTGTCCCTGTACAGGCTCAGAGAGAAGATAAACAAAAAAGAGTGTTTACCTTCTAACTACAGGCAAAAGGTTCGATAGAAGTTTGGGACTATTTTTTTTTCTTTTTCTTTTTTTTTTTTTTTTTGACAGGCAGAGTTAGAGAGAAAGGACTTCCTTTTCTGTTTCACCCACTAAGTGGCCACTACCACCAGCACGTTGCGGCCAGCGCACTGCACCGATCCGAAGCCATAAGCCAGGTGCTTCCTCCTGGTCTCCCATGCGGGTGCAGGGCCCAAGCACTTGGGCCATCCTCCATTGCACTCCCAGGCCACAGCAGAGAGCTGGACTGTAAGAGGAGCAACCGGGACAGAATCAGGCGCCCCAACCGGGACTAGAACCTGGGGTGCCGGCGCCGCAGGCGGAGGATTAGCCAAGTGAGCCGCAGCGCTGGCCAACTATTTTCTGAAGTCATATTTTGCATAGAGCATCTTTAAGGATATGAGCTCTGAATGAAAATCAGTGGGTTTAATTATGGCTTTGCCTCTTCTTAACTCTGTGTTCCTAGCCAAGTTATTTTACCTCTTTGTGCATCTGTTTTACCATCTAAAAATAAGGACAGTTGTGCCTCCTTAAAAGCAGTATTGTAAGAATCAAATGATTTCAATATGTAAAAGTCTTAGACCAATATCCAGCATAAGTAAGCATTAATAACTAGAAAATAATATTTTCATGGTTCTTAGAACAAATGAATGTGTTATTTTGCTTCACAAGAATGCTTTAGTAAAATCAGACATATATTCTAGTTGGATGTTTCATTGGACTTTATTAAGTGTGTTTCTCTCCAGGTGCATAGTTTGATGGCAGACATCTCTAAAGATTTAATTTCTATCATGGGGGGAAAGTTTTCACATTTTACTAATGTATAAACTCTGTAAAAATAGGGTAGTCCATTTAAAAAACTACCCCAAGCTATATAGTTTGCAAGAAACTTAAGGCTTTTGAAAAATTAATATTGGAATATTTATTATCAGTACATGATTATTGAGTGACTATTAAGTCCCATTGGTTATACTTCTTTATTTCTGAAAACTGAATGATTATATAACCAAAGGACTGTTACTGTCTAAAACTTTGGGACATCCTGATTCACACAAGGTTATATGCAGGGTTTTTTTCTCAGTTAGAATCAGAAAATGGCATTTCTGAATATGTAATTACTCAGCAAACTGTTTAAATTGGATGGATTAAGAAGAACCCTCTGTAGGGGCTGTTAAAAACCATGGAACCTGAAGAAGGGGTTACGTGTAAGGATAGCACTGTTGCTGGTAACCTTAAGTACCGTATTTGAAATTAATAGAATTTTTAGTTAGTATAGATAAGAGAATATTTCCAATGCTAGGTGACTGTTTTTGATGTAGACCATTTTATAATACAGCAATGACCATCGAACTGCATCTGCAAATATTTTGTCAGTGTCTGCTATTTATAGATAGGGCAACCTCTGACAGTGCTTACCAATATATTGAAAAGTCTCTTTAAAAAATTATTTAATTGGAATTCAGAGGTACAGAGACAAAGGGAGATCTTCCATCTGCTGGTTCACTACCAAGATGGCTACAGTGGCCAAGGCTGAACCCAGCAGGAGCTAGGAGCTTCACCTGCTTCTCCCATGTGGGTAGCAGGGACCCAGACACTTGGACAATCCTCCACTGCTTTTCCCAGGCCATTAGCAAGGAGCTGGATTGGAAGCGGAGCAGCTGGGACACAAACTGGTGCCCATATAGGATTCCTGCATTGCAGCAATTTTACTTGCTATGGGGCAGCTCAGGCCCCATGGAAGTTAGTTTTTCAAAGAGCATCTAATCTTATTCATCCTGTTTTCCTATCCTCAGAAGATTTTTTTTTTTTTTTTTTTTGGACAGGCAGAGTGGACAGTGAGAGAGAGAGACAGAGAGAAAGGTCTTCCTTTGCCGTTGGTTCACCCTCCAATGGCCGCCGCGGCCGGCACGCTGTAGCTGGCGCACCGCGCTGATCCGATGGCAGGAGCCAGGTACTTATCCTGGTCTCTCATGGGGTGCAGGGCCCAAGCACTTGGGCCATCCTCCACTGCACTCCCTGGCCACAGCAGAGGGCTGGCCTGGAAGAGGGGCAACCGGGACAGAATCCGGCGCCCCGACCGGGACTAGAACCCGGTGTGCCGGCGCCGCAAGGCGGAGGATTAGCCTAGTGAGCTGCGGCGCCGGCCCCTATCCTCAGAAGATTTTAATATAAGTTGTTGGGGTCATGAAGGTTAAATCATTTGACAACTGGTTGGCTGGGTAACACCTAGTGTTGTTGCTTTAGAGATCTTTGAGTGCGTAGTGCATGCTCCCCAAGGCTACAAGCATACATGTCTTAAATAGCTCTGAAATACTCCTGGATTAAAATGATCAGGAAATGGTTAATGTGTGATCTTTCTCACTGCATGGGTAGCCTCTTTGTTACGTGTAAACCATGCACTGCCATCAAAGTTTGAGTAACCTAGCACAATCATGAGGCTTGTGGCTCAGTGATGACCAAGACAGCCTAAATGTTCCCCTTGACAAACAGTTGATGGGTTTCTTCCTGACTACTGTGCAGTCCCCGACTGCTTTTTCCTGGTGCATGTGCTTAAGAAAACTTGAAATTGCACGCTCGTTGTTTGCCCGTCTTGAGGTGTGCATATTTTCCAAGCCTCTTGCCACTGTTAGAGCACAGGCATGTCTGTCCCAGTAACCTGGGAGTCATAATTTAAGGGATGAGTCTCCAGGAGGCAGGCCCCTGAACACCATTAGAAAACATACAGGGCAAAGCACATTGGCCAGCCTACCCACCGTATCCTCTAGTACTTTTTCAATGGCTCACTGCAGCGCATGAAGCCTTTCCTACCTTTTGTTTCTGTGGATTGAGTTCCACCTCTCTCCCCTGTGACAGTAGTCATGAATATAATCTTTCCTCTCAGGTTAACTTGTCCGGTGAAATTTCTCTTTGACAATGATTGTGAAGGTTCTAGAGTTAGAACTACCGTAGAATCCTGACTTCATTTTACACACACGGCATACAATCTCACTAAGCTGCAGTTTCCATACAAATAAGAAATCTTAGCTGGAGGATTTCTGTGAGGACACGAGTCAGTGAACATAAAGCACTTAGCACACTGCCTTGTGCATAGTGGACACTCCATAAAGTTTAGGTCTTATTTTTTGTGCTGAAGACTGCAAAAAAATTGATTTTTATTAAATAATAAACTGTCCTTATATATTAAAGTATAATTCTATTTATACAGTCATTAATATGTACTTTTTTGGAATATCCACTTTGCAAAATTAAGTCTATTTTTTTTTCAAGATTTTATTTATTTAGTTGAGAGGTAGAGTTATAGATAGAGACTGAGAGAACGGTCCTCCATCTGCTGGTTACTGCCCAAGTGGCTGCCACAGCAAGAGCTGGACTGATCTGAAACCAGGAGCCAGGAGGTTTTTCAGGATCTCCTGCAGGGGTTGCAAAAGTCCAAGGACTTGGGCCATCTTCTGCTTTCCCAGGCCATGCAGAGAGCTGAATCCAAAGAGGTGCAGCCAGACACAAACCAGTACTCAGAGGGGATGCAGGTGCCACAGCGGAGGCTTAGCCTACTACATCACAGTGCCAGCCCTAGTCTCTTCTTAAAATTGCTGAAGACAGTCATTGACCAAAAACTGTGAAAACAAGCATCTAGTTACACATCTGATTCTGAAGTGTCCAGTTATTTGGGACGGAGTGATTAGATACTTCTGAGACTACATGCAGCACAGCATCTCTGGGAGAGAGACTCAGCAACACATGTTTCCAAATGGTCTAGCAGTTATGTTCTCCAACAGATGAAGAAAATTCTGTGTTGTTTATATTGTGAAGTTCAAAATACTTCCTACTTAGGCTATCCTGAACCAAAAACTTAAACTGAAATTCAAATACTGTTTTCTTTTAATAGATATTTTAAAATTCCAATTCTGTTGCAATATTGTATTGTCTTGTAGTTAAATTTTGAAACATTGCCCAAATCCCTAAATTTTAAAGAAATAAACATAAAACAATAAACTTTGAAAGTTTTAAGCAGCTTTCTTTGGCTGGGGTGGGGAACATGGTAACATTTAGTTGGAACCACAGTGCTTTTTTCTTTTTCCATGTCACAGTGCATGTGTGGTCAACACAGTCACACTGTCAGGGTGTGCCGCACTGAACTCCTCCTCCCTGTGCTCTCTCCCTCAATATACTCTGAGAAAAATTTGCCTGGATTGCTGTCTGACTTTTAACATCTATATTTCTGTTCGGAGACTCTGCTTGTGATTCTGACTGACTTACAAAGGTAACAGTGATAATATGGATTGGCCTAAAAGGCTGGAAGTCCTGCATTGACATTCCACTCCTAAATCCAGACAACATGATGTGGTTTTTTGTGTTTTCTGGGTAGATTTTTGTTATTGAGTCATTACCTCTTACAGTTGATTCACTATTTTTATTCTTCCTATTACTGGAGACTCTTAAAACATTAAATTTTCATTTTTAGAATGTTTGTTCCCATCTCCCTTCCTTGCTTGAAAGAGTTTTCATGTTTCAGCGAGGGGGTTACAAAAAAAAGCAGAGCCTCCTAAGCATAAAAAGACTGATGTTTCGATGCCCACCTCAAGGCAAGGGAATTTAAGCACAAAATAAAAAACTGAAAATAAAATTTGCCTGTGATGAAGTAAAGATTTAAGTTGGAAAGTTAGTTGTTACAGCCCTCCAGTTGTGTGTATTTTATCCAAAGGTACCATTTGATTTAATAAAATGTAGATGTGTTCTGTAAACTTACAGTTTCTTAAGACTTAATTATAAAGGTTTTGTCTTCAGTGGACGAAAGCATTACTCTTTTGTCTCTGTGTGTCTTCCAGGTTTATCTTGCAGATTATGGACTTTGCTACAGATATTGTCCCAACGGGAACCACAAACAGTATCAGGAAAATCCTAGAAAGGGCCACAATGGGACATTAGAGTTCACCAGCTTGGATGCTCATAAGGGAGTAGGTGGGTTTCTTTTTGTTGTTTTTTATTTTGGAAGAATGATTATGGTCAGTAGCAACAAGCCTGTGTGAAATGATCTTTCAGTCATCAGTTTGAAGAGTGAGAGCACTGATGATATTTTAATGAAAAGTGGTGAATTCCTGTAAAGCCTATGAGTATTTCCAACAACAGTGGACAGAGATACAAACTTTGACAAGTGAGGAAGGAGAAAAAGGTGTTAGGCAAGCAAAACTTGATGTTCAGTTTGACCAAAAAATAACTGATTTGAATAGGTTAAACTTGGAGGTCAGTGCTGAATTTTGATACTGTAGTGAATGTCACAGAGTTGGTAAAGGTGCACCTGTAAACAATTTCTGTTGTTCATTTTGCCCTTTTTGAAGCTCTAGAAGATACAGTTGCAACAGTAAAGATATCTTTTCTGAAACTATAAAGTGTTAACTTGTGGAAATCTCTCCTAGTCCCCTTTCATATATCTTACTTATTTAAACTCACTTTGATGGTATTGGAAACACATTTGCAGGTAAATTACATACATAGTCCTTTTATTGGATATTGATTGTACTGCCTTGCATTCCAAGGCAGACTTAATTCAACAATTCCCTAATTAGTTAAAGTCATAACCTATGTCTTGTATTCATTTACCATTAATTAAACCTTAGCTGTTTATTACACTGCAGTCCAAATCCAATAGCTGACCCAGAAAGCCATGGAAAAGGAAGTAGGAGGTCAATATTGAAAATATATGGTGCAGAGTCCCACTGATGGTTGCTTTGTTCACAATCAATATAGTCAATGCAACTGTACTTTCTTAGTTGCTCTGTCAGCAAGACAAAAAGTCAATTCTAATGTTATGCTAGTGAAAAAAATGGTGATTATTGAAAAACTTTGGCTTTCAAAATTATATTCTTTCTAAACTTTGTTTATAAAAGTATTTTCATATGTGCTAAATCAAACAATTTTTAAGCAGCTTTAGAAGGACAGTGTTTTCACTAAAAGACAATTAGACTTTGCACTTGTTAATGGTCGTTGAGCTGTTACCCTGAACTGATAGTTTCTAACGAGCTTTGGTTGGCGCAAACAACTGTATATTATTGTGTTTTCTATTAAAAGGACCATTGACCATGTAATATGGAAGGTCTTGATCATTTTCCAGAGCAATTAAAACCCAAACTAGTTTAAGGTAGGCCAATGAGAAAATAAAACAGGTGGGTCGATCATATACCTTTTTTCCTTTCAAGAAGAATCGTAGGTTACATTTTCTGAAATCAAAATTGGCTTTCTATTCCTGATCAGAATAAAATCGCTACTTTTTAAAAGTATAATTTAAGTAGAAAATTATAAAATTAATGGTAATTCAGAAATTTATTAATATTTTACAACCTACCTTTTAAATAAATCAATGAGTATTTGCACATAAGATTGGATGTGGTATTAATTGAGAAATACAAAAATGAAAAGGTTATTGATACAGGGTTTTTTTTTTCAGTTTAAATTCTTTCAGTAAATTTTATCTTTGTCAGATTTCTTATTTATTATCTAGTAGAATTTTAAGAAACCCTAAACTACAGTTTTAATAATGGGAAAACTAGAAATTCATTGTGTAGATTTTTTTTTTTTTATTTGACAGATAGAGTTGTAGACAGAGAGAGAAAAGTCTTCCTTCCATTGGTTCACTCCCTAAATGGCCGCCATGGCTGGCGCTGCACCGATCTGAAGCTAAGAGCCAGGTGCTCCCTCCCGGTCTTCCATTTGGGTGCAGGGCCCAAACACTTGGGCCATCCTCCACTGCCTTCCCACAGCAGAGAGCTAGACTGGAAGAGGAGCAACTGGGACTAGAACTGGTGCCCATATGGGATGCCGGCACCACAGGCGGAGGATTAACCAAGTGAGCCATGGCACCGGCCCTCATTATGTAGATTCTTAAACCGCACTCTAGTTATGTTAATGATACTTATAGCTGGGCCAGTTATTTCAACAGACAGCTGTACTACTGATATATCAAATATTAAGTATTAAAATAACTAAGAAACTTTTGTGATTACAGAAGGGGAAGTAGAGATATTACACGTTGGTCTGGTCAATGTTTGAATTATGGTAATTCTGAAAGTCTTCAGTTAATTCTATAGTTTCAGATAGTGTTTTCATTGTGCTATCTTTATTAAACATTTGAACAAATTTTTATCCTGTATTTCAGTTAAAATGTTTTTTCCCTAAATCCTAGTACATGTTGATGAATTGTGTAGATCTTTGTTACACTAGGGTTTTGCAGAGAAGACTGAACTAAGGATGATCAGTGAAAGATGGTAGTATGTTCTTGTTGATGAACAAACACTCAGGCCAGGGCCTACATTAAATATTTTTGCATTTACTGGAAAGTTATATGCTAGAATGGATATTCATTTTTATCATAGATTGTATAGGATTCCCCTAAAATAGTAGATTCCCTTAACACATTTCTGGTGAGATCTAACTAAATTTCTAGGCAAATATATATGTATGTGTAGATACAGATATGCACATGCATACATACATACATGATGTATATGCTGAAAATTTAGTATGTGGCTTCAATCTGCTAAATGAAGGAGAAGGTTTGATATTCTCAAATGTTTGAATACTATTAATTCCTAATGTTTTGCATTTAATCTTCTAAAATGAAATATTCGATTTTGGGATTTTATTGGAAATGAAATAATTATTTAGTCATATCTAAAAACCAGAGGAAGTAAACAGGACCATAAATCCTGTAAGTAAGTGTAGAATATTAGTCATAAATATTCATGTGTTTACTTTCAGTACAATTAGCAATTGAGCTGCGATATCAAATAGTGAAGAAACAATAATATAAAAGAAAGCATGAAGAGCAAAAACAGTTATCACTAGGAAATATAACTCCTAGTTACCTAAATATTTGCTATGTGTCAAGTGCTTCAGAATTTATGGACAGATGGGATTAAACACAGGAGTTTATGTGTTGCAAAAATCAAGCTTTTTGGTGCAGAAAGTTTTCATAATATATTGGAAAGTGTATATTATGGGAAAAGTGCATGGATTCCAAAAATTTTTTGCACCATAATAAAATCATACTTCGAATTTCATTTTCCTAAATTTTTCAAAGGAACTTTGTATCTATGGTCAGGCCAAGTGAAGTATTCACTTCAGTGTAAAACTGATTTATGACCTAGCCACCCAGGAAAGGCATTTAACCTGGTCACACTACATGGTCTCTACTACTTTTTGTCATACTTATTTAGAAACTAAAGCTAAATCTTATTTTCATGTGGATTAATCAACTTCTGTAATGAAGAAGCTTATACAACATACAGGTCAGCTATTTCATCTAAGCATTTTCTAATTCAATTTTTATGTAAAAGGAGAGTGGTTGAGAAAGAAAGAAAAAACTGTTGTAGCTATTAACTTGTGTTATGCAAACCAAAAATATGCATAGAGATGGGTGGGTATAAGGATGAATGGATAGATAACTATTCCTGAATTCTCATACATATAACTATATGATTTTAAAAGTTGCAGTTATTTCTCTAAACCGAATTGTCTTATGTGATTTAAAGGTATTTTGTAAGTGACTGAAGTGCTTCATTTAGTATAAAATTAGAGTAATATATGTTGGGCTTGTTTCTTCAGTTTTTTTTAAATCTTTGAAAACTCGCATGTATAAACATTGGCATATTTTCTTCTTGTTGCCTGATAATTAAAAAGAATTATATCTGTGTCAAAAATACTATTTTAAAAGTTGTTACTTTCTTAGGAATGTTAAAAAGCGATATTTGGATCAATGTGTGATATGGATTTTTGTAGATTTTCTACTCACTGAGGCATGCAGTCAATACCTAATTTCTCTAGAGATATACTGCATTTAACATATTGAGCTTTTTTAAATACTTCAGACCTGTACATTGAGTGTATAATACCTGTTTTAATTTGACATCATTGATGGCCATAAAATATGATATCTAAATTGCATTTTGAATGTCCATTTGTTTATATAATATATTCAGTATCAAGGAAAGACATACATTACGTACTTTTTTTTTTGCCAGTTGCTACAGTATAGTAAATCCAAGTCTTATGTTTTTTCTTGTGTGGTTTCATTTCACTTTAGCATTCCAACTTAGAAAATATATGTGAAATAAACTGAGAATATATTTTCATGTTACCAAACTTGGGAAATGACATGGTTTACATAATATTTATCTTCTCAAAGAATATTTTAAAGGAGCCTATTTTCCTATTATGAAATATTAAAGGAAATCACCAAATTATTTATATGCTCTATTGGATCTGTTAGTAGTGAGAAAAATGTACTCTAACTTTTCTTGTAGGTGAATTGACTGCCAAATGTTAATATATAAACATTAATGAGGATCTTTCTTTGTACCTGAATATACAATTCTTGTACAGTTTTTTTTTTTTTTTTTTTTAAGTCAGAACACCAGAGAGAAACAGGGATAGAGACAGAAAGAAATCTTCCTTCTGCTTGTTCATTCCCCAGATGCCCACAACAGGCAGGGCTGGATCAAGACCAGCCAGGACCTCCATCCAGGTCTCCCACGTGAGAGCAGGGACTCAGTACTTGAAACATTGTTGACTACCTGCCAGGCACATTAACAGGAGGAAGCTGGATTGGAAGCAGAGGTAAAGGTGGGACTCAATCCCCAGCGTTCCATTATGGGACGTGGGGGTCCTAAGTGGCAGCTTCACCCACTGCACCACAATGCTCACTCATATTGTATATTTAGACAGGACTTTTCAAAATTTTTTTTTTATTTTTTTGACAGGCAGAGTTAGACAGTGAGAGAGACAGAGAGAAAAGTCTTCCTTCCGTTGGTTCACCCCCGAAATGGCTGACACAGCCGGCGCTGCGCCGATCCGAAGCCAGGAGCCAGGTGCTTCCTGCAGGTATCCCATGCGGGTGCAGGGCCCAAGCACTTGGGCCATCCTCCACTGCCTTCCCGGGCCACAGCAGAGAGCTGGACTGGAAGAGG